TTCCTTTTTTTAAGAAAACCTCATATTTCCCATGCCTCTGGGGAAAATTTCTCCAAGGCCCATTGTTGGATAAACCATAGTAAAAAGAACTATGTGGCATTGCAGCTGACCCCAGTTTGACATCCTGAGCCTGTTATACCTCAGGGTATAACTACTGTTATACCCTAAAGGTATGTTGCTGTCCTCTCATAGACACCGATGGTGTCTATGCTTCTGTTCCTACTGCTCTGTGGTTGGCAGAGGCATGGATTAATAATATCTAAAAAGATATTTTTGTATCTCTAGTACCTTTTGTATCTCCCTTCATTGTACAGAAACCATGTATGTTCTACCACTTGGAAGACATGTGAAAGTTAGGACCCGTAGCTCCTGGGGAAAATGGGAATGAGAGCAACATTCTGGTGTGAAGAAGGAGAACGGCACGATAAAAGGGTCTGGATGAGGTGGGTCAAGTGTGCAGTCAACATACAGGTCCCACAGAACTAGGAGCTCACCTTGGTGGAAACTGAGGTCAGCAAATAAGAAGGTGTAACTGACTGCAAATCCAAACTAGCATGGTGTCCTGGGTTCAGCAGTAGCAGTCATTTTTCTCCTTCTTAGTAGCTGGTGCAGTGCTGTGTTTTTGACTCTCGGCCTGGGAACAGTGCTGATAACACCGATGTTTTTAGTTGCTGATCAGTCATGTTTAGTCTGACCAAGGACTTTGTGAGTCTCATGCTCTGCCAGGGAGGAGGGGAAGCCGGGAGGAAGCAGAGACAGGACACCTGACCCAAACTAACCAAAGAGGTATTCCATACCACAGCACGTCATGCCCGCTATATAAACTGGGGGAGTTAACCGGAAGGGCGAGATCACTGCTCAGTCGGGCTGGGTATCGGTCGGCGGGTGGTGAGCAGTTGTATTCCCTTCCCTTGCTATTTCCTGTATCATCATTATTATTGGTGGCAGCAGCAGTGATTTGTGTTATACCTTAGTTACTGGACTGCTCTTATCTCAACCCATGGGAGTTACATTCTTTCGATTCTTCTCCCTGTCCCTCCAGGAGCCGGGGGGAGGAACTGGGGAGTGAGAGAGTGGGTTACGTGTGCCTGAGTTACTGACTGCACGTAAACCACGACACATGGAATAACTGAAGCACTACCTCCAGAAAGGGAGCTGTCAGGTAAAGGAAAATCCAACAAAAATGACAGAAGGATTTACTTTTAAATTAGTTACACAAGGAAATGAAACTTGTGAGCTTGTCCTCTTTGTGTCTCCGTACATGACATGAAATACATGGTAGTATTTCCCAATGATTTTTATAGCTGTCTGTTTCTTGAAAAGACAGATATGGAAGAATAAAACAAAATGTTCTTGCCTATTTCTTGAACAGAGGTCACAGCAGAGGCAAATCACTCACTGAAGAACTGCATGGATTTTCCCACATTAACCACTGGAAAATCCACATTAGTTTGCCACTCTTGAAGCAGAAATTCATAAGATGCCATTGGAAGTGATGCTCATGGCACAGTCTGCTTTAAACTAACACAGACTTAGGTCATGAAACAAGCTCTCCACAGTGTCAGGGTTTTGCCCTTAGTGAAGAAACCAAAAGGTCAGACTAACCAAATCCAGTTCCAGATAAATGTAAATAGCAAACATGGTGGAAGCAACATAAAGTGAATCCTCCAGATCAGTGAAGACAGGAACAGAAATACCCCTGAACAGAGTAAAACATGCACAGTGTGAAAATATCCATGATTTCATTCCTACATACTTGGGTTACAAAACTGGTCCAGGTTTTGTAATGTAAGAAGCCATATAGGATTGGATTTCAGTTACTCACACAACCAGGTTACAGATACACTACATACTGGTTAAGAACTCTACATGTCTTACCAATTCTTCCACTTCTAGAAAGGAACTGGTATGAATGAAGCCACTTGTTACCAGGACAGACTGGACACTACACACCTCCTAACCCAAGCTTTAGTTTCAAAGACCTCTCACAGGGCAGCTTGACTGGAAATGGAGCAGTTTCTTGTATCCCAGGAGACCTGACACTACTTTTCCAGTAACTTGTTGGACTAAAACAGTAATTTGTGTGAAATCTAGGTGTTCAACTGGGGAAAAAAAAACAGGTATACAACTGTAAAATCATGTCTCCCTTTCCCTAACAGGCATGTGCTGCTCAAGGTATGGTAGGTGGTGGGTGGGCAGGATTCATAGTGGCATGGAAGGAACAAAGGAAAATGAAAATGAAAGGGGCAGAGTGTTCAAATATTAAATGATTCCATTTTACACTGCTGATGCAATCTGAGCAAACCAGCAATTTCCTTTCGGCCTCTGTTTTATGAGCGATCCTATTCAAGCTTTGATAATAAAAGGAACACAGGTGGGTAATTAAGGAGGTGTGAAACACGAACGAATAGCCAGCTTTCTGCTAGTGCTTTTCGCAATGTGTTCTGGAAGGCTATCTGCATCCAAGTGCTGAGTGATTGAGTGACCTCACACACTGACCTGGGGACTCATTTTCTTCCAAAACAGAACAAAACTCAAAAGGTTTCTGTAAAAATTTTGCTCCAAAAATTGCTGACAGGTTTGCCATTCCAAGGACTTTTTAGTACCATCACTACCTCACTTGTGAGCATGCTTTTCACAGATCCTAGCAGAACACAGAGACAACCATACTAGGTCAAACCAAAGGTCCATCAAGATGCATCTGGTAGTAGTCAGCAGTGCATGTTTAGCAAAGAGTGTAGTAGGGCAAGTGTAGAGTAATCCTTCAACTTGCATTGCCTCTCAGTTCTTGGTTTACAGGTTTATAGGTTGCATTTTAACCTTCACATTTAATAGCCTTCTGTGGAGCTCTCCTCCTTAAGTGGATGAGAATACACCAGCTACACACCAACTTGAGCACCACCCCTCTGAAAACTGAGAGTGAGGTTCTGTCTAGTCTGAGGGCACTCTTTACACAGGACTGAAACATGCAGTTAGCATTTTGATTTACCTAATCATAAAAATACATATATTTTTAACACATGTAATACGGTTTTCTATTTATTAAAATACAGACTTTGGTGATTATGTTTAATTATATTGCATATGCTACCTAAATAATACATATGCACATAGGAGAGAGTGCTAGCTTTAATTTTGTTAAGAAGGCTCACAATGAACAATAGATTTAATCCATTTCAGACATCAATTCTCTTCCATATTAATTTTCCTAATATTCAGTCAGACAAATTTAAAAGTCTTCAGAGCCAACAACAGAAAAGTTTCACTGAGAAAACACCACAATGAAATCGAGATTTCTTCTTCCTGACACAAATGCCTTGTTAAACAAGCAGCAACATACCCATATATGCTATTTTCCTCTAAAGATCAACCTACATCTGCTAGAACACCTTACAAAGGCCAAATAACAGAGGACATGAGCAGCTACAGTGAATCACAAAAAGAGGTCCTTTGATCCAGTACTCTGCCTTTTATAGCAGCCAGTAGCCAGAGTGCAAAGAAGCAGAAAAGGACAACTACTGTGAAGTGTCCCCTCTACACTTCAATCTCTCAGGAAGCAGAAGTTCACTACCATAAGCAAGAGCTGCCTTTGGATAAATCATGTTAAACAGTCTGTGCTGAACTTCTGCTCTGTTAATGTGCCCAAACCCTTTTTAAGATGTTTATCCTTGAGAACTGTGCTTACAGCCAGGTGAATGATACGAGCAGGAGCAGGCCTCCTCTGCTTCATTCTTCATTCGGTTAAACTCCCAGGCAGTTCAGTTGTGTGATGCCCATACACACTGCTAACAAAACTTCTGGGAAGGGTGAGTTTGTTTAGTTCTTTTCCTTGGAAAGCAAATCCAAGATCACTGGTTCTGTAGCTTACAGCCTCCCTAACCATCTCTCACATCCATGAACATCATGGGACATAAGAAAAGGATAAGGAAAGGAAGCCTGAACATTTAGAGAGCTAGATCCTTAAAATTACTCCCTATGCAGCTTCCATCTGACTTGTGGGAGTAAAAGGGTTTATAGCTTGTTAACTTCTGCCTGTATCACTGAACTTCAATGTTGTTTCATAGAATCATAAAATGGTTTCGGGTGGAACAGACCTTAAGATCATCCAGTTCCAACCCCTGCCACAGGGAAGGACACCTCACCCTGGGACCATGTTTTACTAGGAACTACGATCCAAAGTCTGCTTTGTTTCCCCACTGTTACTTCAGGTTTGTATTTTGCCTTTCTATTTTGTTGTTGTTGTTGTTTACTTTCCTAAAGACTGCTTCATGATGCAGCAAAGCCACAGAAATAAAGCTAGATTGCAAAGCTGATGTCTAGATGTTCCATCTGGGTGCAGTCTAACTTGCTGGCATCCTTTCCCAGGGTTAAATCCTGAGGTTAGCTGATCACAGTCAGCTGAAAATTTGCTCTCTGTTCTAGCCCTACTGTCTGCGGCTTAGCAGTAATGGTTTGAAATGATGAAGTTACAGTTGTAATTAATTCAACCAGATCACAGCCATATATCCACAAGGAACACAACTTCAGAGAGCATATATATTATTCCCAGACATAATTATGAGGACTTCTAAAAACACACGGATGTGTGTTTTGGTCTTTCTTCTTCACTCCAGTCCTTGCAGACTGGCACCTCCTCCATTTCTGGGAAGGTCCCTCCTATAATGAAATAAGTACAAGAATGCTGCTCCCATGCATGTCCTTCTCATCACCTGAAGTGTGGAAAGCTGCATAATTACAAAGTGACCCCAACGGCTCCACAGAGAACTATAATCTCGAGATTAAGTCCATTTAAGAAGCATGATCCCAAATATCCAACTGGAGCACAGCAAAACCAAAACTCCCTACCGACTATCCCTGCCATAAAAGTGATTTAGATTGGTTCTCCCCATACATGAGTTCTCTCCTGGCCATCTGAATCAATTAACAAAACAAATAATAGATCACAGTGTTTTTCTTTCCAGCCAGGTTTGTGCTTTTTATGAGTGAGCAGTTAAAAAGCATACATCTTACAATGTAAAATCCTGGAAGCTCAGAGGTCCCTTAGCTGCCGAGCAAAACGGAACCAGCAAAGTTCATTTGCAGGGAACAGTAAAAGAAGTCTTGTCATTCCTGCTGGAGATGCTCGCTTCAGGGTAGGGCTGCAAACTGAACTGTTCTGATCTTCTGCTCCTGTGAGACCATCCAAATGCTGTCCTTAGTAACTGAATGCCTTTAATTCTTCAAGGGAACAAAATGTAAAAGGACTGAGCCTTTAACCAGACCCAGTTTCATAACTTCTCTGTGCCCCAGTCTGATTTTCATGCCATAAAATGGAAGCAATTTTCTGCTTAGCTGCAAGTTGATGCCTGGCTGTATACACAGCCTTACTACCTGGAGAGGCCTGGACACTATTTATTACTGACCTTCAAGTCACCTGTTTCTCTCACAACTCTTCTGTGCTGCAGTGACATTTCCCAGCTCCTGTTACGAGCTCTAGCTTTCTGCACTGGCCTTCCCAATATTTCCAGTATGCATTGCCTAGGACTGCACTCCCAAGGACTCCACTAGCCTGTGAGGATCTCAGCTTTCTCTTAATATCCAAAATGCCCAGCATAGCCTTGATGAACAGAGCAGGTTTATCTAGAAATATAAAAAACATAAAAATATCAAAACATTTTCACATCCTCCATGTGACACACATGGAGGTGCACCCAGAATCTGCAAACAGACTCAGACCAGTTCTCACTAACCATAAACTCAGGGGACAGAGCTGCAAAGCTCTCCAGAAAAGACCTGAACACCTTTAAGTGCCTTAAAGCAGTCTTGAAGGAAAGAGCCCAGACTCAGCAGCTTTCACACAGCTGTGGCTGCTTTGAGCCCATGCTGCAGCCAGACGAGCACTCAGCAGCACAAGGGAGAGCACACAGATCACAGCTGAGCATCTTTATCCCCCCTCTTGAGCTCTCTTTGAGCCTTGCAGGGCAGACATAGACAACCTACTTTTCTCATGTTTCAGCCTGTCATGTAGAAAGTCCTGCTAAGGACGCAGGGTCTCTGAGTTCCTTACACATGTGGAATATCACCCTGATCCAGAGCAACATGCAGATTTCCCATGTGCTTGTTTGTGGCTTCTACAGCAACTCAGCAGCCAAATTCATGCTGGGCTGAACTCCTAAAACATAAATAGTTGGCTGATACATCTGTTAAATCTCAAAGGGCAAATAGCAGAGGCTGTTCTCCCCTCCAGCAACTGCTGCAAGAAGTGGTGCAGCATCTTGTCCTGTGGGACACAAAGATCTCCTCCCATCTGTCATGTAGATTTGCAACAAGAAGGAGGTGATCCCAAAGCAAGTGACTGCTTTATTGGCACTGGGCAGAGCACAGGAAGTGGATGGAGGAGTCCGAGGCTCAGCAAAGCCCCACGTGCACCAGTATGACTGTACAGATGCACAAGCCAGGTCTGGCACAGACACAGGCAGCCAGCTGAGGCTTTGCTTGTGCTGTCGCTGGTTTACTGTTCAAAGTAGCTGCAAAGAACATTGCTATCTATGGAAGAGCACAAGGGATTTACATCTTTCTGGTGTAAAGTGCATACCTCCAAATGATGTAACTAACAAACAGCCCCAGAAAATCCCCAGAGCTTGTGCAGATGAAAGGGAAAGCATCAGGAGCTCTGGAGAGCTGGCAGGATATGCAGCAATAGGACTGAGTAGTGCAAAGACATTGACATAATTGTCTCCATTTATTTTCATTCTCTTTGAAAACTCAGAGGCTCCCATCACTTAGGGAAAAATGTGGAAAAGAGTAGGCAGACCCCTCATTATCACAGCAGGTTTCCACCAACATGAAATCTCCATGGTCTCTATTCTTTGGCAGTGGCACTGGTAAACATGTTTTATCAATTGGCCACTGTAAACAAAGCTGAGTCCTGCTTTGGAGCAAGATAAATATGAAATGCAAGTTAGGTGGATGGCTGCTAGTCAGACCTGACTCCTGGGAGAGATGGGGGAAATGCAGAAAGGAAGATCCTTGTCAGAGCAAAGATGAATAATATCTTGCATGTGAACATGTCAGATGCTTGAGAATCCAACCTAGGAACTATAGAGTTTCCATTCACATCATCAGTGTTTACTCTGGAGTAAAAATTAGTGACTTTTTCCATTAAATCCTATTGATCTATTTCTCCACCAAGAAGCTTCTTCATCTAAATCACTGGTTTATTGTGCCTCTGATTGTTTAAGGGGATGTCATGGGAGCTATTGAAGAGTCACTTAAAATGCTATTTGTCCTACCACACATAGGCAAGCAGTGTTTCCATTCGAAACCTTGCTGCATGAATTAAATCTTTCAACACAAAGTGGGCTTTGTTTGCAAAATTAAAGTAATATGTACACGTATTCTACATGTCCACAGACCCTTGCAGAAGGATGGCTAAATCACTCTGCTGTTCAGCTGCTCGGGAATGAAACACAAAGGGAATATTGAGTGAGGAAACCCACATACACGGGTTACAGCTTTCTGAACGGGATGCAGGTTCATGATGCTTTTGCATCAGCAGGTGTAAACAGGGTTTAGCAGTTTACATGCATATTTACAGAAGGCTCACTCAGAGCCTAAAATAGAATAAGCTTTGTATTCCTGTCTCCTTAACAAGTTATCACTTTTGCCAGCTCAAGTAGCAGAGATGTTTGCTTCGACCTGGGAGGTCCTGATGTATTCTCTGACAGCCAGTGATGCCCACAGTGGATTATCAATGTGAAAAACAAATGAACAGCCAGTCCTGGCAGCAGGCAGAAGTTCCCTGTTTGTGCACTGTACTTTGTAGGAGGGTATGAGAGGTGCTTCGTTGTTTGGAAGTTTGCCTCCTTCCAGAAGATGTCCCTGAGCATTTGGGATAAGAAAGCAGTTCAACTGAAATATGGTCTGAGAGACAGCCCTCCAAAAAAGGGAATGCAGCTCCGTTATAACGCCCTTCTTTCTGGCAGCATTACCACAAAAATTTGGAATAGAAGAATTTTTCTGGTTATCCTCAGCTTAACAAGCAACAGAACATAACCCTCTTACCTATTCACGTATATTTTATGCTTTGGGAGCGACACTGCTATCACAGCCTTGGAAAACTGACATTACACGAAACAAAAGTAATCCTCTCCACTTCAAACCTTATATCCCAAGATCTCTGAACTTCATTATATTATTGTACTGTCCAAAAATGTTTAAAAGTGTTTCAGGCATTCCACTGAGCAACTAGAAACAGACATTCCTTTCCCAAATCCTCTAACATCTATGTCCCAAATATAGAAGAACAAGCAGTAAAGTGGGAGAAAAAAATAAGGAAAAGCAGGAAAAAATGTCTTCAATTTTGCTGGCACTTCATTTTGGAGAGGGGTATGCTCAGAAGCCTTCAAGTTTGAGAAAGAAACATTTCATACCATGTTGTTTTGGCACTTTAAAAAACCTTGCATCCCACAAGGTTTTAAGAGTCACCACTGAAATATTCCTCTGAATGAAATACATCCATTTGTCCCCTAAAAACTTACTGCACAAATTCTTTCACAAACGATTTGCTATTTCAAATCACAATTAACAAATCTCTGAAACTTCCACTTCTGTGCATGATTTTACAGTGTAAAACCTGGTCTCTTGCAAGCAGATGAGGAGAACATTCCTCTGAGGTGAACTGTAGCACTTCAACACCTAGAAGTCCCACCAAGGCTACCAGAGCCCAACACAGAAAGAGGGAGACTATTCAAATGCCTCACTTTTTCCACTGCCCAGCTTTTCTTAGATTGTTATGTGGATTTTCATTAGGCTCCCAAGTATGGAGAATTTTTATTATTGCTATAAACTCTGCTCCTGAAGCGGATTTTCTGACCCTTTCATACCAGACGTTTGGCTAAGTGTAGTATCAGTTTAATATCTGACACACGGCCTTGTGGGAACCATATCCTGCCACTGACACAGGAATAGATGTCATCAGACAGATCCATTCCTCTGCCACACTTCTAACTGAGCTACCTGGTTTTAATAATGGCAAGGAAAACATCTGTGTTGCCTCGCCATGTGACTGGAGTTCAAGAGAATGAGCCACACGCTGCAAGCATTTCTTGGAATTGTGAACTACTGTTCTATTCAACATCCAGCTGGAGGCCGATATCCACAAATACTCGTGAGTGTAGATCAGCAAATGCCTGTCTTTCATCTAGAAACTCTGATTCCTGTGTCAACAAGGCCAGGCAGGTTTCTCTGCCATCTGCGGTTTCAGACTTCAGATGGCTATGCCACAGCTCCAAGTGAATGAGGGGGCTAATTCATACATGACAAGTAGAGAACCATCTAAAGACTTAAGTCTAAATGAGTTGAATGCAAAAATTATTAATTACTGTGGTTTTAGTCTATTTAGTAATATGCCCAGAAAGTCATGTAGTGAAGCTGCTGCGTAACTGGGAGCCCAGTGGGGTGTCAGCACATCCTTACACTGACCAAGGCTTAATACTAGGAGAACTGACCATCTCCAGAACCATGACAAGATTATTCATTTCTAATTTAATGGAAAGCAACAGCAATCATAACCATTCTGAGAGAATTCAGGACTACTCAGGGCAGAACCATAGAGCAGCTTTCAAACTGCTAATACAACTGCTATTGAAATTCAGAAATGCTCTGTTTCCTCAGTTATGACTCAGGGAAGATCATTGCTTTAGCATCTGTCCTAGTTCTGATCATCTCCTGGCACTCACTAGACATATGTTCGGGCAGCATCTACATAGAGTTTGTTTTCCTTTCAGTCATATGCAAAAGGAACAAAAGGGACTTGGGAGAGAATTACTGTTATTTTTGCATTCTTTTGCAACTCCATCTACTTCCCATCTCCAAAGCCCTTTGTAAAACAATGGATTTTCCAGTGCATTAGGACTTGCCACTAGCCCAAGGATTTTCACTGCTCCTGGCAGCCCGCTGCATTGGCAGACTTCCCTCTGCATCCTCGACCTGCTGCTGATTGATCCCTGTAATCCAATCCATTTTCAACAAGCCACTTCAGCTCCAATAAAAACAAGGGGTTTTGCTGATTGCTGGTTTCAGCTGCAGCTGTTGGAGCCACAAATCTAGAGAGAAATGTTTTAAATCTATTTGTAAAAAATCTACTGATAAAAATAAAATTATTCACTGCTTTTATTTAGTTAAACTCAAAGGGATAATAATCACAGCTTCTTTTTATGCATTGTACCTTCTTCAAGATTTTATGCCTGTATATCTCTCTTGGTGTGATTAGGATGCTCCTCTAAGTAAATAAGAAATGTTAGGGCTGAGTTTCCCCAGTGCCTTGATGTATGTAAGCATGAAATAGCTGGCTTAACATGGGTGCTGCAAACATTTCATAGACTTTAAATCTTTAACTTAGAAGAGACTGTTCTAATCTGCCTCTTCTGCAAAGCATCAGCCAAACAGAAGTCCCATGGCACTCAAGAGTTTTTGCACTACAATTACAATTTCTATCTGAGCTGGGAAAAAAACCCTAAGACATTGCAAGATACAAATCCTGACATCCAGACAGCAAACGAGAGACAATTCCCAATGCTTCCAGGTACATTATTATTCCAGTTCTGCAGTTACGTGCAAAACTGAAGTTCTGTATTTTA